AGCAAGGAAGCAAGGAAACATAGATAAACGTCTTTTTTATGGTTTTGTTAAGCTACTTTTCTTAATAAAAGCTATTCTCATTCATCATGATCTATAGGTGGCTTTCCTGTCAGTATGGACAACATCAAAGCGGTTTCCAAACTCTGTCATGCGTACAACATACCTCTTTTCTTCGACGCCTGTCGCTTTGCTGAGAACGCCTGGTTCATTAAGACGAAAGAAAAAGGTTACGAGGCAAAAACACCCAAACAAATATCACAAGAGATTTTTAGCTTGGGAGATGGTTGTACAATGTCTGCCAAGAAAAACGGCTTGAGCAACATTGGTGGATTTCTTGCGTTAAATGATGACAATGTTGCTGACAGGTGAGATAAAATTCGGCCCAAACGACGGCCGTAAGTGATTTTCATTTAAATTACTTGTTTTGRGCAGATTCCTCGTATGATTGTGAAATATCGACCGGCGTGACATCCCATGAACATGAAGGCACCGTGGCCGAACATTTTGATTGGATAAGCAGTGATCTCGCGCCCTGTGATTGGTTGACGTGACGTTTACGTAATCTTCCCTTTATTTTTTGGCGTCCTGTGATTGGTAGGAATAATGACGTTAATTCCATACCGTGACCATACGTTGACGTGAAGTTTACGTAATAAACAAACTCTCTTCTTCATTTTATCAGGTGCCGCACGGAACTAGTCATATCCGAGGGATTTGTAACCTATGGAGGATTGGCTGGTCGTGACTTGGAAGCTATTGCTGTCGGGTTTCAAGAAATTCTGGAAGACTCTTACTTGGAATATCAAATCAACTTTGTTAAGAATTTTGCAGAAATGCTCAAAGACCATGGGGTTTCGGTCCTCACTCCGCCAAGTGGACACGCGGTAAGCTGGTGCTCGTTTCAGTTTTCCTCGATATACATGTATGTACCTATTTCAAAAAAACGTTGTCGGTTGGATATCTGTAATTAGAAATCTGAAACCGATTGGAATTGTGGGGGAATGAGTGTTTTCTCGTTCAAAATTCAATATACACTTACCCAGATAGTTTGCCAGCGCAGGTCATCGCTCAAAGTTAGTATATCAAGATTTGACCTTTTTGCGAACTATTTATTAAAACCACAAACAATTTACAGCTTACAACCCAGAATTCCTTTCGGTCTCGGATTTCAGATCTCTGACCGACAACGTTTTTTGAAATAGGCGTAAAACATGACAAGTTATCTAGGTTTTTGACGGCGGAGGGAGGAAAAACAGAGAGACTCGGTTCAGCGCTCGGACGTAATGTTTTCCCTTTTCAGACCACGTGTCATTCCCTAGATTATCATTTCTTTGTTTAACGGTTGCACATGAGAAGACACATGAATACGGATACAACTCAAACAAAGAATCTTATTCTCAAGGATTGAAATGTGGTCTGAAAATATACGCCCAATCCGAGGAAATCTATTCAATCTATTTACGCTGTTTTTACGCAGGTCTACATCGACGCAGCTGCTATGCTACCTAACATACCCAAGGATCAGTTCCCTGCTTGGTCTTTGGGCTGCGCCCTGTATCTAGAAGGTGGTGTTAGGGGAGTAGAAATAGGTGGAGTCATGTTTGGTGGAGCACCAAATAACAATCAAGATGGTCATTGTGTAGGTGGTTCGGAACCTGAACTTCTGAGGCTGGCCATTCCAAGACGAGTGTATACCGAATCTCACATGAGGTAATCAGTAATCAACTATCTTGCTTAGTACATTCTTGTCCATCCATGCATCCATCCATGCAT